CTTTTATATATTTTTTGATTTTTTTTGTTAATAAGGTATCAAAAAAAAATAAAATTTCGTGGGCAGAACCTCGTGGCCCCTCACCTCTTCATCTCTATATCTTTAATTCTGGGACTCCCCTACTTCAAATAGCACAAATGGGAACCAGTCGAGGAGCCAGTTTCCGGCGACTTGCATGGAAGCATAATAGTTGCAAGATTGGCAGCGATGCAAATGTCACTTACTAGACCTTGAAACACAGCAAGTAGTACTGAAATAAACCCCAAAAGCATTAATTCTGCAAAGGAAAAAGAAAAGTTCAAAGAAGAGAGATTAATCAACTTAGAAGTTGAGTGATTGGAAAAATACAAAGAATATTAGCATGGGAAAAAAGGAGGAGAGAGAAATAGAAATCAAATAAACCTTCTTTTAGCTTTTGTAATGCCTTATAGAGTGCATCTTGGCTCTTATGCACGAAACTCTGAAAATAACGAGATAACAGAAATCAAGTTGAACCATCTCATTTAGAAACTTAAACAGTTAGAAATGTAACACATTTACATGTTTTACCTTGTTCAGCGCAAATCAAAATTAAAATAATGACAAAACAGACAAGAGCAACCACCCATGTTGACGTACACTCGAACGACTGGCCGCCACCTTCCACCATTTTCCGAACAAAAGATTTAGTACGGTAGTAATAATATGATGTAGCAAAAACATTGGCCCCAAAATTAGAAGACAATCATATTTATAAGGGCACTTTAAAACGTGATTGGCATGGCATGAAGAAGCAAAGGCAAAGAATATTTTGGAGTGAAGGAAAAGTATTTGGGAGAAACTATACGTGTGGCTGAACAACGAACAAAGTAAAAGTATCTCCAAAAGACTCTTTAAAAATAAGATTCTCCCTCTTTTAAAGAGTGAAATTTTAAAATTATGTTTCAAAAAACTCTTTAAATTAATATTTTAATAGAAAGTGAGTTTAGCTCTTCAAATTTGAAGAGTCAAATTCACTCTCTATAAATGAATTAAAAGTATTTCAATTTTCAATGAAAAATAATATAATAATTTGGAGAAGCAAATGAAAATAAAAATAGGAAAAAAATAATAAATATTTTTTGGAAATAGTAAAATTAAGTGTTTAAGATAAAGAGTCTATTTAGAGTACTTAAATATTTTTACTCATTAAATTGCTAAATACGCTATTTGAAAATAGAGTCTTTTAGAGATACTCTAAACATACAAAATATGTATTAGTTTAAGAACAATTGCTACACAAGCAACATTACCCTGCCATTTTGTATTCCTCAGCAAAGATTTTAATGAATTTTAAACAATTATAAACTTTAATAAATGTCGTGAATTTGAATAGATTTTTCACGTTATCCATTAAAATCTCGTTTAAAATGATAAAATTTCAAAAGAGTATGTTAAGTGTATTTTAAAGCTTAAAAATCATTCAAATGTCTTGAAATCATTTTATTAATGCAATCCTTATAAATCCATGAGTTATGGATGACACTTAGATTTTAATGGATTCTAGATACAAGGACTTGTCATCAATCAACACACTTGAGTATATGCTCTTTATTAGAATTATCGAGCACATGAATTTCTTGATCACAACCATTAAACACGCTAAAGGAGATATTACGTCTTTCCAAGAGATATTACGGTATAAAATTGAGAGTACATATTATACAACCATGAAAGCATGTTTAAGAATTGTTTATAATCAATTTAAATTATAAATTGATGAAATGAAAGATAAATGGACAATATTTATGGGTCCAACAGAATATGTGAATACATCGAAATTTGACCAATAATTTTTTATGTTTTAAACACTTGCCAAACAAGCACTTAATCACACAAAGATTAATGGTATTAACTATCAAAATCTCTTTTGATTGATACCTCAAACCACCTCTAGCATTCTCCCCTAGCAATCCCCTCGGATCCAAAGACAAGAATTAAAACCCAGAATTTCATACACGGTATTATGACCTCAAGTAAAAACATATAGTTTTTCAACCATGCTACAAGTACAANTTTTAGAGATACTCTAAACATACAAAATATGTATTAGTTTAAGAACAATTGCTACACAAGCAACATTACCCTGCCATTTTGTATTCCTCAGCAAAGATTTTAATGAATTTTAAACAATTATAAACTTTAATAAATTTCGTGATTTTGAATAGATTTTTCACGTTATCCATTAAAATCTTGTTTAAAATGATAAACTTTCAAAAGAGTATGTTAAGTGTATTTTTAAGCTTAAAAATCATTCAAATGTCTTGAAATCATTTTATTAATGCAATCCTTATAAATCCATGAGTTATGGATGACACTTGGATTTTAATGGATTCTAGATACAAGGACTTGTCATAAATCAACACACTCGAGTAGATGCTCTTTATTAGAATTATCGAGCACATGAATTTCTTGATCACAACTGTTAAACACGCTAAAGGAGATACTATGTCTTTCCAAGAGATATTATGGTATAAAATTGAGAGTATATATTATACAACCACGAGAGCATGTTTAAGAATTGTTTATAATCAATTTAAATTATAAATTGATGAAATGAAAGATAAATGGACAATATTTATGGGTCCAATAGAATATGTGAATGCCAAACAAGCACTTAATCACACAAAGATTAATGGTATTACTATCAAAATCTCAAAATCTCTTTTGATTGATACCTCAAACCACCTCTAGCATTCTCCCCTAGCAATCACCTCGGAGCCAAAGACGAATTAAAACCCAGAATTTCATATACAGGACTACGACCTCAAGTAAAAACATATGGTTGTTACTTCATATCTACAAGACAAAACCAACAGATAAGTACATTACTACAAAGGAATGGAGAAAATGTTTGCCTATATGCATAATTGCTGTTTCCTACAACTCCTGTAACAGAGAAAAGTAAACAAATCTGCCTTCCTCTACCAAGTCAAAATCATGAAGCCAATACCAGAAACCTAATATTTAAAGGTCACCCGGGATTTCTAATTCTCTACCGCTCCCTTTTTGTCACCTTCTCCCACCTTCTTTTGCAGCAGGCACTTTAGCTGACTGATTAGACATGTCCAAGTCAATGAGAGAAAGGTCATAAGGCACAGCGATAGTACTCGACGCGTCCATGAGTAATGATGTGTTAATGGCCTCTGATTTCACGAAATTGTGCCCCATGCCTTGATTCTGAGGAGTATCACTGGCTGTAGATGATAAACTGGACAACTGTATATCTACCGATTTGTTACCAAACATATGTTTGTTCCTTCTAACTGCATCCATTTCTGGGCCAGTTGGGACAAAGGTTCGTGCCCTATATTTCCTTGTTCCCTCGTCACCGTCATTATGGTTGTAGAGAACATAATCATGATAGGTTGGTGCAAACTGTAGAACATATAAGAGAATATCAGAAAAATGGCCATCATCAATTACAACGGATTTTTGGCTTCTAAATCAGGGTGCTGGCCGAGTATAAAAATATATGCTTGAGTAGATATTTCCACCTGGTGGACGGTATCATGGTAAAAGTCATTTAATTTCAGAGCATGTGCAAGGCTTGCCGTAAAGCCACGAGAAGAACCAATATTTGCACCAGCGTATTCCTTGTATGGGAATGCATAAAGATGACCAACTGCTGCAATGAGCATCTCTACACAAATAATAAAACTTTGAAAGTTTGCAGCTTCCTCTGTATCTTTTATTAGTTTAGACTTTGCAGCAAGAAAAACCAAAACCCCCTGTAAATAAAGGAAGGTCGTGAGAAGAGTTATTGAAACAGGTCACAATACTCGGAAAGTAAATAATTTAGATATCAAACTGGAGGCAGATACTGTGAGTGCAAATTAAATCATAAACCACACTTCTTTGCTTGTATCGGTTTCATGAAAATAATCCAGAACAGCAATAACAATTAAAAAGTCTCGATGATGAAGCATTACCAAGCAAAAGTGTCAAACATTGAAAACTATCAAGTTGTCCAATTGGTACAAAGATTCAACTTAAGTTTCTTATAAGACAAAAGACTAGGATTTGGACGCGACAAAAATCCGTGAAGGGCAAGATGACTCAGGCTCTCCCAAATCGGACAATACGCATAATATAACGACTTGAGCACGAGGCCTCGGTAATTACGCAAATAGTGGCAACACATCATTCAAGAACAAAAGGTTAAAGGTGAAAAGTGAAAAGTGCATTTCATTGTAGAGTTCAACCAATTACCAAGGCAGACAGCATCCTACTCAGTTTTGAACCCAACAAATGGCAAGTGAAACTCTTTAAAAGCCTTAAAAAAGGAAACATCCGAAATTTTGTACTAGTAAGATGATGCCAGCAAATAATAAGAAATTCACCAGCAACACAAAATTGGCAATAAAATAGGCATGCTTCAAATTTAATCCTATTTCAATATATCAATACTAAAAAATATCCTACCTGCCAGTAAGTAAGAAAGACAACTGATTTGATAATGATGAACTTTGGAACTGGATTGAATGGCTGAAGCAAATCTCTACAGGCCACATAAAACAAGGCCAAGGCATAAAGTGCCACTGAGTATGAGATTGTATAAATAATGGTGAGATAGAGGTATGATTGCATTGGACTAAAATTTCCATCTTCATATTTCCCTTTCGCATAAAGTATAAATGTAACTGCTACTAGCATAGGCTTGAGGATCACAAACTGCAAGCATCCTTGCTTGCACCTTCGTATAAAGCGACTGCATAGCGTCAAGAACTGTATGAGAAATGTTGTTCACCAAAACTAACAAAGTAAATGCAATCTTCATATTCAATGCTCATACACAAAGCAGAAAATTATATAATATCAAACCCCAAAAAACAGTTTAAAACATCGGAATCCAACCCGTTACAATGCATAAAACAATCAATTTTTAAAGTTATTGACCTGCTAAACAATTATAGATGCTGGATATCAAAAAAGTTGTGGGACACATCATGCCATAAAAATTGCTGATCTACCCTTAGAGAAAAGAACTATAGCCCCAAATCAAGAGGTATAACGGATTATGTTTCCAGAAAACAAGTGAGGCGATCCGTTAAACTGTTCTAGACCGTGCTAACCTAAAGTCTTTGGGAAATATCAACGCTTCAAAAATCCTCGATTTTTCAATAAAGTCAAGGATCGTCTGATTATCAATATCCCAAAATTGAGTTGTAGAAATGCTAATCACCTCAAGACTCTTCTCAATTCATGTAGCTAACCAAGTTGGACACTAGAGTGTTGGACAAGAGAACAGGATGTCCCATACTTTTGCATTGTACACATGTAAAAGTCAAAACCAATAAAACAATTTCAGTGAATGGAGATTGGCACCCAAATAACTCAACATGGTTATTCACTGAAAAGACAAAAAATATATGGAACCTTTCTTCAAAATTTACAGATAGTTAATGAATTCAATTTCTACAATATACAGCTCCGAGCATTCATACCACAATCAACAAGAATGTACTGCAAGAATATATTGTTCAATTAAACCTCAAAAGGTAAAAAATTGTTGCAATGAATTGCAGCAATCAAGTAATTTCATGTGTAGCGACTCACCCATCCAATGGAACTGGAGGGATGCAACATGTCATTGACCACCAATTTGGCTTTAGAACTTTGCCGTTGAGACTTAACACCACAGCACCTGGTCCACCCACCCACGCTAAGCACAATGACAGAAAATTATAAATGACCCAAGCTTCATATCTGGCAAAAGCAAGGGATAAAAATAAAATATAACCATCATGTTCATAAGGTAAAAGAACATAAAAAGCAAGCAATTAAGAGAGCAAAGTCAATGCGAGCAATCAACTATAGCAGGCTTGAAGAGAAGAATGAAAGGCAGATATAGTACATGTATTTAATAATATAAACTATTGAAAGCTAGTTCTATGGGGTATATGATTATGCTTCACCGGAGTAATTCAGCACAATCTTGTTTATGGAAGAAAAATGATCCCAATGTATGAATTATCCCATACCATACTCCAGCAAAATATTCTAGGAACAAAAGGATGCAAACCATTGACGACTGTCACAATTGCTCTTTAATCTTTATTAAAACTCTTGAAAGAGTGGATTATATTAAGTAGGTCACATTAATACATTAATAAACACAATTCTGAAAAGTTTATTCTTTGTCAAAGAAATGATCAAGACATCATACTTGGAAAACAGTTATTCGTGGTCACCCTACTTGGAAATCCAAAATACTGCATAGGATTGTTGGAATCTGTGCACACATGCACAAGCGCAATTTACATCATTTTCATGCTATCAGAAAAAGAAAGGAAAATCAAACCTTCTTCTAATTTTTGCATTTATAAATTTTTTTTCTAAAACATTAGTCCATGTTTCAAACATTGGCTTGTTTCATACAATTCTTCCTACGATCTCTACACAAGCTTTAGAACCTTTCATGCATATTACAGCTATCATTTGATTTTCACAAGTTAAAAAGAAAAAGGCAGCAAGAGGCAAGGATAAGAGCATCCAAGAGGAGTCCTAGGGCAAGCAAGAACAGTAAAAAAAGGACAAAATGACATTAATGACGATGATATACAGCCACCCATACACGAAAAGGAACAACACTACTAAGCTATTTATTATCTCTCAGTTCAGCCTGTTCAAAGAAAACTTAGCATTTCAGCCTTACTTACACTTCTCTGATAGAATTGAAGTAGATTGCACCCTTATTTATGACGAGGGACAAGAATGACATTAATGCATAAACCTGTTGAGAAGCCAATATCATAAAGGTCAAAAAAACAATTATAAACAGATTAAATTAATATGGGCTTGAAGATTCTGCAGTACTCTTAACATGAATTATCGTCATCCTCTGTTCAACAATATGTGACGTCAATATACTCTTAATAAAAATGACCATCTTGTAAATTAAAAATAACTGATTTTTAGGAAAACGACACTGAAATTAGTAAATGCATACTAGGTTTCAAGTGTAATTCCCTGAAATTTAGTGAAGTAAGATAATTTTACTTCTTTAAACGGCCAACTCTACTATTTTAGCAAACAAGACAACCAGCGCCAAATAACATTGGAACAGAGAAAACCTATCTGGTAATATGCATGTAAGGGAAGTGAAGAATATATCATGGAGGGGGTTCAAAAATCCATTTAAAAGAGGTAAAAACATTCCTAGTACTTAAGTTAAAGAGAAAAGGTGTAGTGCAGAGAAGTAAGAGGAAGCAGAAACAACATATTACACAGCATGGGAGAGGGCAAGAATAAAAGAAGTAGAAACGGCTCACTGCGTGAAGGAATATCAGTAACGTACTATAAAAGAAATGGTGAAAATAGATTATATCGTATAATTGTAATGCAGTTTTAACATAACATTTATAATACGGAGAAGTGGCAAAGAAGCCTAACTTACCCAAAACCCCCAGAACTCAAACCTGCACTTAAGAGAGACAACCTACATTACATGCAAAAAGACTATCATAACGCTCAAAGTTCTACTTCTATTTCTTCCAACCTTTAGATAACTGGATGTACCAAATGGAATTTTACTCTAAAAAGACTTTATGAAATATTTCATCGTTGTCAAAAACATCCAATATATTCATCACAATAGAAGCTCACACATCAAAATCTACATGTATGAGTGTCTCAACTAGTAAAGTACAAATGGTTCCCTTTTTCGCTGAAACTTTTTTCCTTGGTGAAAATCATGCTAAGAGCTTGTTTGGTAGAAATTAAAATTAGATTCAAATTGAAAAACTAGCTGTTATTGTTGACTTTTATAAGACGAGTGGGATCTAATAACGGCTATATTTTCAATTTTAATTGGATTTTAATTCCTCCCAAACAAGCTCTAAATAAAAAAAAACTGACATATAGGTCCTTATAATCTCACTAGACCTTACTTTTAACATTTGAAAATATTATCAGGTTTGACTGCCACTCAGAGGGATCAGACATCAGCAGCCTTTCCCTTTAGCAAAAAGTTATTAATCTGTTATATTGTGCATAAAAGGTCTGCTCATGCTTTGAACAAAATATCATCCTGGTATTTGTGACTTTTTGTGGATAAGTTTTGCCAGTGTACTAGTTATCCGAGCCAATATCTTCCCATTGTCATCTCATCTTGATAACTTTGTGTTTCCTGACACCATAACATGGTGTGTCATGGCAAGATTTTGAGTATATAGCCGATGTTGAAACCATTCTGTAAATAGTTAAAATGACAGAATCCTTTCAAGTACTATAGTACTCTTTTAAAAACCTTTCAACTTCAGAAGACTAGTTAATAGTAAGAAAAATAAAAGAAACCCCCGCTTGAGATAGATATCACAAAAACACAAAATTTATAAATGTCATTACAAACGAAAATCATACCTAGCAACTACAATTCCATTCACAAATCCACGTATATTGTGCATGCAACGCCAGATTCCTCTCATCCCTTACCTTGAAACTTCCATTCTCACTAGGAATGCTCAAAGGAGGAAATAATAATTCACTATGTAGGAAGCAAATAAAATGTTACTTTCCTAAATACTTGGAGCACTAGATTGATGTGCAGATATGAGAAAACCCAGTAAGAATTAGCCTAACAATTGTTGTTACAAAAATGCAATATATTCTTCTACTAATTTTCTTGCTACAGAAAATCAATCGATCCTTTTTAAGGGCTTCCCACTATTAGAGGACTTAGCATTATTCTCACTTACTAATTTTGTATTGGAAGTAGTAGTTCCCCTCTTTTTCCTATACTTCATTTGTTGCATTTCTTTGCCTTTGGGAGGTCAGGCTTATTCCCCCTTATTGTTGTTCTCGTGAGTTTGATTCTATATATACGGTTGGAAAATCCAAACCACCATCAGCCTTCCGTGGTGCTAGTAATTAAAAATAAAAATAAAAATTGATCCTTTTTAATAGAACATTATTGCACAATTATTTATTCATCGATTTTGAATCCACCTCTTCTTTTTTCTCCCCCAAATAATAAAGATTATTAAGACTTCAAATAATGGTTCAGTGATTGCAAAGGCTAACCTTAAAATCAAATGCACAAGGAAGAGTGAAATAGGTGTGATGTAATGAGAATCAATCTTGGGGGCAGCTGAATACTTACAGGAACCATAAAGATAATTCGGACAATGTATCTCTGGTATGTGGGTTCAGTATAATTCATGAGATGCCTGTAAATGTGGAGAAGCGCCAACGCAATTGCCCCAATTGTACAAGGCAAAGCTATCAGTATGTAGAATATAGGCCCCATTTGCCACAAATACTATAATTCGTTCACCAAAAAGCCTCTCCAAACGCCTAATTAATCAATATACCCATCATCAAGTGTCAAAATTTTGTAATAGGAAAAAAAAAGAGAAAAAAAAAAAGAGAGAGAGAAGCATAAACAATGGGACATTGAACAAAAATTCAATGCAAACCTTTTGGCCTTTTCACTTGATCGCAGTAACTTTTACTGCTACATATAGAACGAACGACTCCCTCGAATTGCCCAGATAATCGCAAAAAAGCAAGCCCCCAAAAGAAAAATAACTTCAAAAACTGCGAAAAAAGATATGAAACAATTCTTTTATCATGAACTATTGGATTAATTGACACAAAGAAGCAGAAAATAAACCTAGGTTAACAAAATTATTCTTCAGAAAAACAAGAAAATGAGAAATGGGCGTGATAAATAAAAACTACATTACATATCTTAAAATCAGAAATGGATTACTGAAACAATCCGACTAACCTGACTTTGAAATCAAAGTAGAAAAATTTGGGGAAACCGTCCGCCGCAACACTGGTAACAAACACTTCCAAGAGATGGAAAAGATCGATTAAGCGTAGATCTGTTGCTGGTGTCGAAGAAGAATTTGAGATGAAATTGGGTAGTGGGAAACGTGTTAATGCTGTAGTGGGACAGACGGGAAGTAATGGCTACTTATAGTATTTGTTGTCGTCGTTAAGCAATGCTCTGTTGGTTGTCCACTTGTCATCGATATTAATAAAATTAAAAAGAATTACCCCCAGGTCCTCAATCTTATAAATAATGTCTATTTATCTCCATTAAAATACATCACCAATTTATATGTTTGGTCTCATAAAAAAATGAGATTCATTAAATGTATAAATATGAAATCGCATTTTTTATAATTTAAAAAATAGATCGCATTACTCATCTTTATATGATAGAGCATTTAGGTCTCTAATTTTTAAATACGATCGCTTAAGGGCATCTCTAATGATATATCAAATTGGTGTAAAAATACAATTTGAATGTAAGGTCCTATTTGAGACATATTAATTTTTTCATCTACTCATTCGCAACCACACATTTTTCAATAAAATAATATTTTTCATCACATCAATAACTTTTCCTTTTTTTCAACTATATATTATCCATCACATTAACAGTAAAAATATATTATTTTTTCAAAAATGTGCACCAAACGGGAGCTAAAAATCTACGTCAATGTAGCATTGATCATCACACCAATTTGGTGTGGTGTAGCACTATTCATTTGGTGTCATTTTTGAAATTTAATAGCCCTTGTTTGGTCCCAAATACTTCCAAAATACATTCTCTCTCTCTCTCTCTCTCTCTCTCTCTCTTATTTTCAACAACACATTTTTGAATTAAATAATATTATATGCAAATCCAAATATTTTCTTTGTTTTTTAACAACATATTTTCAATCAAATTACTATTCCAAAATACATTTTTGACAAAAAAAATGACTCAAACAAGCTCGTAATTATTTAACTTATATATATTTATTTTAATTTGATTATTATTTTTATATTAACATTTATTCGTGAATTCTAATCAAGTAATAAATAATAAGTATCGAATATATTTAGCCTATGTTTATTTTTTTTTCAAAATTCATTTTCAATTATACAATCTCATGTACAATAATTTTATCCGTAAATCCAAAATTTTTCTTGCATATGTTTGCCCCCCAAATTTTTCAAAATTCATTTTCAACTACATATTCTCACATAAAATAATTTTACACATAAACGGAAAACTTTTCATTCTTTTTTTAACCATATATTCTTCAAAAAAATCACTATTTCAAAATATATTTTCTTATCAAAATGGGGCTCAAACAAGGATTAACCACATATTTTCCAACAAAATATTATTCTAAAATGCATTTTGGTCAAAAAAAAAAAAAAAAAAATAGGGCTCAAACAAGTGCTAAAAATGATAGTTAAAACTCAAAAGTTACAAATTTAATAATTATAAATTAAGAAGAAATTAGCACTAGAGATCCACAAATATCTAAAAAAAAATAAAATTAAAGTAAAACAATAATTTAGTAATTTGGTGTGAAAATTGCACCAATTTGGTGTAAATTGTGTAATTTTTACACCAAACTGATTCAAACCATTAGAGATGCCCCAAGTCTACCACCTATATAGTAGCATTTGCGACTTTTGGTCCTTAGGTGATGGAGCTATCTTCACGACTAACTCTACTCGATGGTTGTAGTCACCACCAATTGCGACTACCTTTACAACCATCATCCTTTTCAAATTGCAAGCACCGCCACAATTGTAGTCAATTATCACCACCACCGCTATCTTCCACAAAATGGCAAGCACAACACCACCATCAACTGTGTATAAACCACAACAATTTTAAGAGAATCATGACTCTGACCATCGTCATGTTGTTACGAGAATATGAGAATTCGCCCGTAACTAAGGCCCCAACCACTACTGCCTTACAAATTTTGCAGGATATTATGCAGACTAAAAGATATTGCAAACAAACAAATGGCACTCCGATCGATCGCACTGTCGCTTTTAATTTTTTAATTTTAGTAATATATGGTAGTTTTAGATTTTTTTTTTCCTTTGATCAAAGTTTTGGTTATGATAGTTTTTCAATCAATATTGGTATTTTGAATTTTGGTTATAGAATATGATTTTATTTCATTGTATAAATAAATCATTCAAATATTGTGTAATTTAATGAAATGAAAAGATTGAGTTTTATCAATAAAATTTTATTGAATCAACAAGTCTTTGATACCTAATTTTTTGGTATTTATTAGTGAATTAGTAGGGACTAGAAAGTTATCCCCGATTTTCGTGTTTTCAAGTTTTTGTATGCGTTACTCTACACCAGTTGGTTCTTTTGGGTCTAGTGTTCTTGAGGCCACCGTGATTGGCTGATGATTGCAAGGTATTGGTTGAAGACACGAGAGATAAACTCGTCATTCCCTCCATTTTGATCATTAAATGATGGATTTTCCCTTTTCTTTAGATAAACAATTTTAAAAAAATTGCAAATGGATTCTCATGTAGTCTTATAACTTTTCTTTTATATTGATTCAAATCGCTTTACTTGAAAACAATGGACTAATATTAAGCATTTCACATCCTAGTGAAATAAGCATTTATACAATTAAGGAAGTTCATATAAAATGCCATTTCGATGCCACAATATTCACTTCGATCAGCATTTTTTTTAAAAGTTTTGGATTTACGTGCAAAATATTTTATTGTGTGAATGTGTGCTTGAAAATAATTTTGAGAAAAAAAAATAATTTTTTGATTTAATGGATGTCAAACAGGGGCTTATATATATACTAGTCTGACGCACGTGCGGTGCATGTGTCGTTGGTGAAGTTAGGTATTANAGGTCCTCAATCTTATAAATAATGTTTATTTATCTCCATTAAAATACATCACCAATTTATATGTTTGGTCTCATAAAAAAATGAGATTAATTAAATGTATAAATATGAAATCGCTTTTTTTATAATTTAAAAAATAGATCGCATTACTCATCTTTATATGATAGAGCATTTAGGTCTCTAATTTTTAAAGACGATCGCTTAAGGGCATCTCTAATGATATATCAAATTGGTGCAAAAATACAATTTGAATGTAAGGTCCTGTTTGAGACACATTAATTTTTTCATCTATTCATTCTCAACCACACATTTTTCAATAAAATAATATTTTTCATCAAATCAATAACTTTTCCATTTTTTTCAACCACATATTATCCATCACATTAACAGTAAAAATACATTATTTTTTTCAAAAATGTGCACCAAACGGGGGCTAAAAATCTACTTCAATGTTGCATTGATCATCACACCAATTTGGTGTGGTGTAGCACTATTCATTTGGTGTCATTTTTGAAATTTAATAGCCCTTGTTTGGTCCCAAATACTTCCAAAATACATTCTCTCTCTCTTATTTTCAACAACACATTTTTGAATTAAATAATATTATATGCAAATCCAAATATTTTCTTTATTTTTTAACAACATATTTTCAATCAAATTACTATTCCAAAATGCATTTTTGACAAAAAAAAAAATGACTCAAACAAGCTCGTAATTATTTAACTTATATATATTTATTTTAATTTGATTATTATTTTTATATTAACATTTATTCGTGAATTCTAATCAAGTAATAAATAATAAGTATCGAATATATTTAGCCTATGTTTATTTTTTTTTCAAAATTCATTTTCAATTATACAATCTCATGTACAATAATTTTATCCGTAAATCCAAAATTTTTCTTGCGTATGTTTGCCCCCCAAATTTTTCAAAACTCATTTTCAATTACATATTCTCCAATAAAATAATTTTACACATAAACAGAAAACTTTTCCTTCTTTTTTTAACCACATATTTTTCAAAAAAATCACTATTTCAAAATATATTTTCTTATCAAAATAGGGCTCAAACAAGGATTAACAACATATGTTCCAACAAAATATTATTCTAAAATACATTTTGGAAAAATATATATATATATATAGGGCTCAAACAAGTGCTAAAAATGATTGTTAAAACTCAAAAGTTACAAATTTAATAATTATAAATTAAGAAGAAATTAGCACTAGAAATACATAAATATCTAAAAAAAAAAAAAATTTAAAATTAAAGTAAAACAATAATTTAGTAATTTGGCGTGAAAATTGCACCAATTTGGTGTAAATGGTGTAATTTTTACACCAAACTGATTCAAACCATTAGAGATGCCCCAAGTCTACCACCTATACAGTAGCATTTGCGACTTTAGGTCCTTAGGTGATGGAGCTATCTTCACGACTAACTCTACTCGATAGTTGTAGTCACCACCAATTGC